TATATATATATATATATATATATATATATATCTGCAGTGAGCTACGGTCTCAGACAGTCATTGAAGCTCACCTTCCTCCCCAAGGTTCTCTGAAAATGGCAGGGGTCGTAAGACAAAAAGTGTCTATGAAGTGTATGAGAAGAAAAGAAAGGCCTCAGAAGAGGCAGATATATCCCACAATGCTTTGCGCAGGGTTTAAAAAAAAAAAAAAAAAAACACCTGCAAAACCCTGTACCCGCTCCCGAGAGGAAATGGTGCGAGAGCGTGCACAAGCCTATTACTAGCAGTGGTGTGAAATGGATTTCTCCAAATAGCATGACAAACATTACCTGTTGAGTAGAAACTTCGTAACCGAGGCATCAGTAGTAAGCCCAACCTGTTCTTTAAGTGTACGCCATCGCGTGAAAGAATATCCCAAAAACACTCTGGTCTTGTTTCTCTCTTCTGAGGCCTTTCTCTACTTTTCATACACTTCGTAGACAATTTTTCTCTTATGACCCTATGCCATTTTCATAGAACCGTGGTGAGAAAGGTGAGCTTCAAAGACTATCTGAAACCTTAGCTCACCACACATATACGCCTGCAAGTGTGCATGCCTAGAAAAAGATAGCTACCTGGGGGACAAGCATGTAGGACGCCCTTACGTAAACATATCCACTACACCTTTAAGCATTAGCGTACAAATAACACATTCTGCCCAGTTTAGATTAACTTTAGAAATTGTTTGTTTAGAGTGCAGGCACAACGCGGTTAAGGTAGTTGCTTCCTGGGGGAACCATGGTTATCTAGTTATTTTGCCAGCGTTCATTAAAACAGGGTAGGGAGGGGCAGCAGAACTAATACGGATTGCCCAGAGATGCATGATTCAAGCCAAATACCACTTTTTCATAAAGGAATAGGGTTATGATATAGTTAAAAGCTCCAAGACGTTAATTTTGCATGCTAAACTTGTAATCAGCAGTAGAGCTCAGTGAATAAAAGCTTCAATATTCAGCTGGTGGACCATTATTGCACAGTTTGAAATGTTCTGCAGAAGCATCAGCTTCACTACAGTCTTAGTATAGAAGGTTTCCCCTGTTGAGACACACAGATACAGTAAATGTTTAAATGTTTATGCATTTAGCAGAAGCTTTTATCCAAAGCGACTTACAATGCAGACAAAATGTTACAGTTCTCTAAAGGAAAAACTGAATCAGAATCAGTGTTGACAGCAAAGAGATAGAGAGAAGTACAGAAAGAGTAGTAGAGGGGTACAGAGCTATGGGTGCAGTACATCCTAACTGGATGGGATGTATCCTAACGTCATAATTTATGCATCACAGTGCATCTGTTATTTACACCCAGATGTTATTTTTTTATAATAAACAGAAAATCAGATCATCACCAAGATTAAACTCATATTTCACCAGAACACCTTACAGAGGATTGTGCTGATAAATGAGCTGTCCCACTGGGTCTTTACGTCAGAGCTCATCCTCTTTCCGCCTCTGACAGCCTTGCTGTGTAAAGCCCTTGGCAATTTAATTTTGTTGAAAAAAAAAAACAGATCACAGACATGAGACGAAACAACAGCTATTCTAGGCAGCAACTTTCTGGTTTAAGAAAGTCTAAAAGAACTATTTAAAAAAATGTGTCAGTAACAATTAACTTTTTACCTCAAGAAGGGGAAAATTGAATGATGAAAATAATTTAACAAAAAAAATAACCTTTCAGCACAGCAGCAGTACTGTGTTTCACCGCCTCTGGCTTTTACAACAGCTTGCAGTCTCTAAGGCGTGAATTTAATGATAAACAGTCTTCATTAAGCTGGCTCCAACTTTCTATGATTACTTTAGGCAGATCTGTTTTGCAGGTTGGAGCCTTGTCATGGACCATTTTCTTCAACTTCCACCAAAGATTTTCTGTTTGGATCAAGATCTGGACTTTTTGCAGGCCATGACACTGACCTTATGTCTTCTTCTTCAAAGAATGTCATTGACTTCAAAAATTTTGTCATCCCCAGATATCAATTTAAAGGGAACACCGTTTTTTTTTTTTTTTTTACATTGGCCCCTTGATTTTAGATTATTACATTATCGTTACGTTATCCGTGCTCGCCGGCTACCATTCATTCATCCTGTCCGCTGAGCTGCTGCTAGTTTTACTCACATGCCTGGAAGATGTCTAGTGCTGCTACCATAGATGATCTCGCTCTCGAAATGGAATTGAACGATTCAGATTATCTAGCCGAATGAATAGAAGGGGTAGAGCGTAGCCGCCTGTGGCCCAGGCTGCCTGTCACAGCTCCAGTCCGGCGCGCAAATGACGTCATAAACACACCGCTTTGTTTTAAAAAAAATATAACCGCAGATGTCTGGGGGACAGTGATTCGCCTACATGTTATGAATGCTGGCGTACCATAAATGATAAATTATGAACAGTTTAGATTTGCCTTCAAGTCGTTGCC